TTAAGAAAGCTATGACTAAAGATTTTAAAATGACAGGTATTGGAGAAATGTCATACTTTCTTGGAGTTGAAGTGAAGCAAATACAAGAAGGAATATTTATATCACAAAAGAAGTATGCAGAAGAAATTTTAAGAAAATTCATAATGGAAGATTGCAAGCCGGTAACCACTCCAGCAGAACCAGGAATCAAATTTAGTGTGAATTCAACAAGAGAGCAAGTGAATCCGACGTTGTTTAAAAGCATCGTTGGAAGTCTAAGGTATCTGACTATCACACGACCAGACATAACATACGCTGTGGGATTGGTAAGCAAATTCATGGAGAATCCGAAACAAGATCATTGGATTGTAGCAAAAAGAATCCTCAGATATGTCAAAGGTACAACATGTCATGGTTTGTTCTACACATTCAGAAAATTCGAAGGTGGTTGGTTATTCTGATAGTGATTATGGGGGAGACTTAGACGATCGGAAAAGCACAACTGGATATCTACTTCATATCGGCTCTGCATCATTTTCATGGTCATCAAAGAAGCAACAAACGATAGCTCTTTCAACATGTGAAGCAGAATACATAGTCGCAGTAGTGTGCACTTACAAGCAATGTGGTTAAATAATATTTTACACGAGCTAAATTTGGCACAAGAAGAACCAATTACAATATGTCGACAACAAGTCTACAATTTCCCTTGCCAAGAATCCAATCTCTCATAGTCGAAGCAAGCATATCGATACAAAGTATCACTTTATACGAGAGCTGGTGAAGAACAAAAATGTGAAGCTAATTTACTGCATAACTGAAGATCAATTAGAAGATATTTTCACAAAACCATTGAAAGCAGATATATTCAACCGACTCAAAGAAAAGCTCAGAATGGAAAATCGAGTTTGAGGGGGAGTGTTGGAAATTCAAACTCAACGTGGCAATGTGGCAGTGCACTAGCACATGTCGATAAAAAGAGTTTAGAAATCTTAAATGTGGCAGCAAATAAAACAATAAAAAATAGGCAACTTGGCAAATGATAAATCATAGTGTCGGCAAGCCATATATTTGAGAATTGAAATGAAAGCAAATCAAGACAAGCAAGAATAAGGCGGCAAAGAAAAATTGAGAAGTATCCAGAGCATAATATGTCGGTTTATTACAACTATATATATGTATGGAAGCCAGATGAAAAACACAAGTGAGTAGTGAGAAAAAGAAAACATACGAAAGAAAAAATAGAGAGAATTGAGAGAGCTTAGCAAAGCTTAAAATAGTGAGGTTGCGTTTGTAAACTAGCCGCAACTAGTATTGCAGTATTGTAATATTGAGGTAGTGTCATTGTAACATATTTTGTTTCGTATCAATAAAAAGTTCGAGTTATAAATTATCGTGAGCCCATCTACGCTTCCAACACTCTCTTATTATTAAACCTGTTAGACGGCATATCGTTTAACCAAACAGATATCGAAACCGAAGATATGCATAAATTTATCCATTTGCGCTACCTCGCACCAAAACCCATATTCCTAAAAATTAGATCTAGGAATGACCAATAAACAATATCGTAGGCTTTTCTAAAGTCAACCTTAAACACAACAGCTCTACCACCCTGACATTTGACCAAGTCAATAACCTCGTTTGTAATTAAAGAGCAATCGGTAATCTATTTTCCGATGATGAAGGCAAATTGACTTTCTCCCACAACTTCATTTATGTAGCAGGCCAACCTTCTAGACAACACTCTTGCTAAAACCTTGTAGATGCACCCCACTAGGCTGATAGGCCTATAATCTTCCACCGTCTCGGGAGCCGATACTTTCGGAATTAAGGTTAAAAACTAGTGGTTTAGAGACTTGTCTGCAAACTCCCCTTTAAAGAAAGACTCAAAGAATTACATGATGTCTTCTTTAAGAAGTGGTCAGAACTTCTTGATAAAATCCAGGTTAAACCCGTTTGGACCTGGCACCCGAGATCTGTCAGTAGAAGAAATGACCGACCATACTTCCTCTGAAGAAAACGGAGATTCTGACTCTCTGGCAGACATGGAATTTAACTTACCGAATTCACCCACAAAAAACCTAATCGGAATCGTTGGAGTTACATTATAGCTCTTACAAAAATGCTTTTCAAACATTAGAGATATATTTTTTGGATCAGAAATGATTGAGTCGCCCACTCTGATTGAAGAAAATGGTTTTTTTCCTTCCTGAAGCCATTAGATGGAACAACTCTGTGTTCTTGTCCCCTTCCTTTAACCATTTCAAGCGAAATGTTTGCAACCATTCTCTTTTTATAGATTTTAGAGATCAGATTGATACGATAATTTGCATTTTATAGATTTTTTAGAATTTGGTTGACAGAAAATACATTTGTTAATGTAATTTATTTTCTCTTTTTTGTATTTTTTATAAAATGATTTACAGTTTAATTTTTAATTTTTATTTAATAGATTTTTTATATTTTTTGAAAGATGATTTACGGTTGATGTATTTTGTTTTTTTAGTATTTTTTGTATTTAATAGATTGGTCTGATTTTTAGTATTTATTTATTTATTTAATTGATTTTTCATAACTCATTTTTAAAATTTTTCACTTTAAAGTATAAATATTTAAATAATATTATTTTATATATTTAATATTAATAATATGTAAGTATTATTTTAATAAAATATTAATTATTGAAATATATTTTACTGATAATATTAACAATTTAATAATTCAGTATTATAATAATATCTGATATTATAGACTCAAAAAATAATATATTATATTATGTTTTTATTTAATATAAAATAATATATTAATAAAATTAATATTATTTATTAATTTCATAAAATAATATTATAAGAATTATTAAATATTTAAAATATTTTTATTAAAAGTTTCTAAAATATAATATAATATTCTTTTTTAATATTATAATAGATTCTTAATAAATAATTAATATAATTAATAATGTTGATTATTTTAACAATATAATATTATTATCTTAATTAGCAATTGATATATTTTACAATATTTTTATTTTAATAAAATATATTAATCTTAGTATTTTATTTATAAAATTGTAAAAATAATATTTTTGACATAAATAATATTTCAAAAATTATTATAATATTTCAAAAATAATAATATTAAAATTTTCTAATAAATAATATTATTTATTATATTTTATATTTATAATAAACATTTTATCAAATTTATTAACTAATAAAAAATAGTTTATACAACATCATTCAAACACCATAAAATATTTTTGAAGAATACAAGTCATTGAAAAAAAGTTTTATTTTTTTTAGAAATTTTTTTGTTAAATAAAAATGCTTAAGAACAATTCTTGAAAACTTTTTAGCAAACTTTCCCCTTTCACTTTCCCTCAACTATGACATCGTGTACCTAAAATAAAATTTGAAATAAATTTAGAGATGGTTAATTCGGTTAATCGACCTAATTGAATTATCCAAAATTCATTATAAATTTTTTTCCTTTAATGTTAATTGGATTGAAATTTTTTTAAATTTTTTTAATCGAATTGAACAAAATTCACTTAATTGATTGGTTAATCAAATTAACCAAAATTTATAAATAATATATATAATATATTAAATATCTAATATTTTTTGCTTATTCGGTTAATCCGGTTAAAATCAAAGTTTAGACATCCCTAAAGTTAAATAAAATATATATAATATATATAATATGTTAAATATTTAATAATTTTTTAATTCGATTAATTAACCAATAACTAAAATTTAAAAAAGAATCATTAATCGTTAACCAACTAAACCTAAAATTATTCGACTGATTAACTGATCGAAGTTTTGATTCTATCGGCTAATTTTGTTTTAACCAAATTATGAACAAACAAATCGACTCAAATGAGATAATATATCGAGATTTTTAGAAAATATATAATTAACACGTCTCATCATAGTAATTATACTTCGATTAAAATTACTCACTTCGTATTTTATTAATATAAATAAAATTGTGAACGAAATAGTTGCTTTTAAAAATATTACGTATAGAAGAAAGCGTTGATGTATAGGAACATATGCATGATTTTAAGAGAAGGGAGGTAAACTTTTTTAAATTTTAGGAGTGAATAAATTTATAAAATTTTAAATTAAATGAAAATAATATTTTAGTAAAATATATAAAAAATTAAAATTTAATATAATTTTAAATTTCTAAGAGAGCGATTGTTACCCTTCCATCTATCCTTGGTATTGTGATAAGTTTTTATTAGTTAAGATTATAATTGATATGGTAAGGAGGTTTTATTGATTGTATTATATATAAGTTAAGATGATTATAAAATAATATTTGTTCTAAATATTTTTAGTCATCTGACAATGAATGTTCAATCACTCTGTTATAGTTGTTAGTACTCAAACACATGACCTCTAGAAAAAGCAACAATTTCTTTAAAAATTATTGGATTATGTATTTGGTAATAAACATGTCATCTAATTAACAAAATTACTTATTGATTTCATAATTAAATTATTGTTTTCATTATTGTTATTATTTCAATTATTATTACTAATATTTTAAAAATAATATAATTCTAATATTGAAACTACTACTATAATAATAATAATAATAATTTAAATACGTATCACTATTATTATAAAATTTTATTATTAAAATTATTATTGTCTTATTGTTAAACATATTATTATTATTATTATTATTATTATTATTATTAAAATTGTTCTGATTATTATAAAAAAATACTATTGGTTTACAACTAATGTCAACCAAGGAATTTAAATTTTGAAGGACCAAAATGGGGAAAGATAACAAAGTTTAGTGACTAAAACATGTTTTACCCCATTGGAGCAGCCTCGTCTATGATTGATTGGATGAACACAGCTGCAGAAGTGAGTGGGAGTGTGACAAATGGCGGTTTTTGGTTCACTTACGTTCATGGTATTCGTGCACGCAAATTATACCCATAAAAAGAAGAAAGGATGAAATATCTACAATCCCCACTGAATAATCTGAGGTCTCGTTTTCGTAAATATGTTTATCCATATAATATTGCTCCAATTATCAAACTGTGGCGTACAGTTTCCTTCACTTTCCATTTGTTGAAGAAGAGAGAAAGTTTCAGCAATGGCGGCCATGAACCTGATTGTTTCAACCAGGCTTCATTATTCCTGTTTGAACCCCGGTAATGGGTTTTCAATTTCTAAACCCAAGGGCTACAAATTGGGTCCTCGAGCTGCTTTGGTAGAAGCAGGATCAAGAGCCGATGGCACCCCAGTGGCACTACAAGTATTAAGAGGGGACCGCGTGGCGGAACTGCAGGCGGAGGCCAAAGCCATGGCGCGCGCCGCCAATGCCTCCGTTTACAGCCCCGAACTTCTTGCCGACACATATGGGTCACGACCTATCCAGGTTAGGCCGAAACAAAAATGAAAAAAATAGTTTCGAATTTGGTTCGGATAAGTTGCCGATATAGAAATTAAAAAATGGTCCAAAATTTTAAATTTTTTTTTAAAAGTGAATGGGTATTCAATTTTTTTTTATCTTTTCTATTTTCTTGAACTAAATTTAATGTTTATATGGGATTTAGTACCCTGGTTTAGATAATAATTAAATATATTTGGTACTATTAATAAAATTCCTTTAAATATTTTAAATTATCATATATTTCAGATATTTTTTTATATTTTATTGATAATTTTTTTGGGTACTTCCAGTGTTTTAAGATTGTATCTTAAAATTTTTGAAATTCGTTCTTGACCCATCGAGTGATGGTTAAAAAAGTTGTTATTATCCCTTTAGGTTTTGAGCTATGCTTTTTTAGAGTTGTATGTGTTGTCGATTATTAAAAAAAAAGTTATAAACACATTATTTTGTATTCGTTTCAGAATATTCAAAGAAAAAAATTCGATCATTCGCATAAATTATTGCGTTTGTCCTGATTTATGTATATCCATGTGGATTTTGACAATGATAAAATAATTTTGAATGAAGGGAATATAATTTTGTTTCGTGGTTCGTTAATGGCTTTGAAATTGGTATGATTAATCAGGCAATGAAACGGACATTGGAAATATTGGTAGCCTTAGGCTCTTTCGGTACGAAGCTGTTGTTGGATCAAAGGAATGGCACACTGGATCGAAACAAGAGAATCCGAGCCATTGAATTGAGAAGCATTTTCACCCGATTAGGCCCTACATTCGTAAAACTGGGTCAGGGTTTATCCACCAGACCCGACCTCTGCCCACCCGAGTATCTCGAGGAGCTGTCCGAGCTTCAGGTAACTTAAGTCGGTCGGTTATCGGTTAGTGATACATATATAATTGAATCGAGTCGAATCAAAATCGAGCAAGCATCCTCCAACTAGTTCCTCGGGTCGAGTTTTGTAACTCTTATATGTTCCCAGGATGCACTGCCTACGTTTCCCGATGCCGATGCATTCTCATGCATCGAAAGGGAGCTGGGGATGCCGATCGAATCCATTTTCTCTTCGATATCTGCTTCTCCTATTGCCGCTGCCAGTTTAGGCCAAGTCTACAAAGCTCAACTCAAGTATTCTGGCCAAACTGTTGCTGTTAAAGTGCAACGACCTGGTATTGAAGAAGCCATTGGCCTCGATTTTTACCTTATAAGAGGCCTCGGATTTCTCATCAATAAGTACGTCGATATCATCACGAGCGATGTTGTTGCCCTTATCGATGAATTCGCCCGTAGAGTTTACCAAGAGCTCAACTATGTCCAGGTTAGTTTCTTAACTATATCTATGTACTATTATTGTGCTATGAGACGTTAATATTAGCAGGTTGCTTGCAGGAGGGACAAAATGCAAAGAAATTCAAGACGTTATATGCTGACAAAGAGGATATCCTTGTTCCAGATATCTACTGGAATTACACGAGCTGCAAAGTTTTAACGATGGAATGGGTTACCGGGGTGAAACTAAACCACCAAGCCGCCATTGAAAGACAAGGTTTAAAGGTTATAGATTTAGTAACCACGGGCATCCAATGCAGCCTCAGACAACTCCTAGAACACGGCTATTTTCATGCTGATCCTCATCCCGGTAATCTCTTGGCGACACCCGAAGGGAAGCTCGCGTTTTTGGATTTTGGAATGATGAGTGAAACACCGGAGGATGCGAGGTCAGCTATAATCGGGCACGTTGTTCATATGGTGAATCGGGATTACGAAGCAATGGCTCGTGATTACTATGCTCTGGATTTCTTGGCGATGGATGTCGATGTTTCTCCCATTGTGCCGGCTCTTAGGGACTTCTTTGACGATGCGCTGAATTACACTGTGAGCGAACTCAACTTCAAAACACTAGTTGATGGCCTGGGAAATGTTTTATACCAATACCCTTTTAATGGTGAGCTGATACTTCTTCGTTTGGTTCGCACGTTATTCGAATTCGGGTGTGACTTTAGGATATGGTATTTGTCTGGCAAGTTTAAGCTTTTCTGGATTCTTGAAGAGCCATATGCTCATACTCGTATATGAAATCATGTCGAATAAGTGTGTTAGATACATGTGCTTCAAGAAAAGCAAAGAGTTGGAGCAAGATTGCTTATGTTTATTGTTTATATGACACTTGTGAGCCCTATTCTCAAGTTTGGTTATCGTCCGTTATGTTGCTTCAACACTTCATTTTTCTTAATGTACTTTCGTCCGACACATATTCGGATACAAGTACGTCTTAGTTTCTCATGTAGTTTAATGTTTTGGTTATCAATGTTGCAGTGCCAGCCTATTATGCACTGATATTGAGGTCACTTACAGTGCTAGAAGGGCTAGCCCTTTATGCTGATCCTAATTTTAAGGTGTTGGCTGCCTCATATCCTTACTTTGCTAAAAGGCTTCTCACTGATCCAAATCCATATCTCAGAGATGCTCTGGTTGAGTTGCTTTTCAAGGATGGCAGGTTCAGGCATGTATTTCCTAACCTAACTCTTTGTACATATCCTCTGCATTTGAATTCATATTTGGATACGATAATACGAGTGTCTGGCATGAATATGTTCATGCATTTGGAAGGGTCTTAGGGCATTATAGTCCTATACTTGTGTCCAGCAATATATCGGACAATAAGTCGAGTTAAGACATTTGAGGAAACTGAGGAGTCGAACAACGTATCTTGAAATGCATGTGATCTGTTTGCAACAGGTGGAACAGACTAGAAGACCTTGTTATTGAGGGAAGAAAGGACCGGGATTTCTCAGCAAAAGCTGCATTGCAACCTGTTTTAAAGCTGTTACTGGCACCAGACGGCGAAGAGCTTCGGACTTTAACGATTAAAGAGGCTGTTCGTGTCACCGAGGCCGTTATTTTAGGCTCGATTGCTGATACATACAACTCTGCGCCATCTTTTGTTCAGACTCTGATGATCAATGGCAACGGCAATGGAGGGCTCGCGATGAACAGTTCTGATTTGGAAGCCATAATGGAGCTTCGGAACCAGGTTTTTAGAATCTGGAGTCTTCTAAGTTCCTCGGAAAATTTCGATCCAGCGCTCTTGCAGCCTATTTTACAGGTTAGTGAACCTTATTTGTGGTACAGTTCGTTTCTTCTAACTTTCAATGGAGTTGGCTAATGAAAGGGGTTGTGGAACAGGTCCTTCAACAACAGGAGGGACGAAGTCTGGGGGGCCGTGTCGTCGGCGGGATCTCTCAGCGGCTTGCAGCTCGTTTACTGCAACAACTCCTTCGAACTCCGACTGTTCCTGGTTCAAGTTTATGAGCATTGGAGTTCCTGGTAAAGTTCATAAATGCATGTTTATGAACCCCAACTGTTCGTGTATAGTTTTATCAAATGAACAACAGAAGAAGCATTTACCAAACAATTAATTCTACACAAGGTTACGAATCACACAAATCTGATTTTAGAAACAAACAATATGTTTGGCAAACCGTTCAACTGCAAAGCCTGAAAAAAAATCTTGACTTTTCGATTTTCTTCAATACATATGCAAGTTCTCATATTATCTATTTTATGTTTTTAATAATTTTTTATAGTTTCTCTTTCTAATTAAAATTGAATTTACATTAAAAATGTGAACAATAAAATAGAACAATATTTTCGTTTCTTAATTTTATTTTCTAAATTGAAATAATCCAATTTGAATATTTAAGTTGAAGATTAGCACTAATTGAATTAAGAAATTAAGTTTAGTGTTTAATCAGACTAAAACTTAAATATTTAGTATAAAAGTAAATTAAAAAAATCAAGTTCAGTTGCCAAGAAAAAGTCAAGTTTATGTACTTGATTGCATTATACAACTCTAGGTACCAAATCGAATATTAAAACCAAATTCAGATACCCATATACATTATTTATTCACTTTTTAATGCACGTCCATTATTTATTATTTTAACTTCATTTTCATCGCATAAACAAACCGACATCTATCAACAATCTCTAAAGCCTATGGTTAAAATTCTCAATTTATAACGTCAAAATTTTGAAAACATTCCCCTTTCTATAATAATCATTTTAATGCAACGATGACACAAAGCCACGAAACAGCACGGGATAAAATCCAGGTGGTAAGTTTGTAGTGATGTATGTAGGCATAATGGTAGGATCTGTTAAGAGCTTTCCCTTGTAGATTACAGAAAATAAAGGGGGCAAAGAAGAAATACTTATGTAACATTTAAGTCCAATATATTCTCAAATTTGCATTCACCCACATAAGGCAATTGAAATAACTCAGAAGAACAAAACCGGGCCTTAAAAAAAGTTAAACGACCTTTTCTTTAGTCTCCGAAGCCAAAGCATCATCCTGTGATACAATGAATTGGTTTACTAGGATTTTCCACAATGGATTAGGCTTCCCGCACCTAAGAAAAGTCCGAATATAGCCGCGCTGCCCAATGTGGTTTGCCCGATGTATCGAATCTTGAGCAGTCCTGGTACCTGCACAACCCAAAAATACGAATCTCACAAAAATGCAAACCTAAACACATAATTGACACTGTTTCATCTCTAGAAATAAAAAGTAAAATATCAAACATTACCTTGTACCTAATAGCCTCGTAAGTCCCATATACAGCACCTGCACGAGCAAAATCACATTAATGCGCCTCATTAACAATCCTAAAATAAAAGATAAAAAACAAAGTAATGCACTTTTATAAGAGAGCAATAAATAATTGAGAATCGTGTAAAAAAGAATCTAGGAGATGAGTTCTTTCATTAAAGATAGAAAGTTGCTACATTTAAGAGATACCAGCAGAAGACTCTGTCCTCGCAATCAGCCTCTGCAGAATCATCTAATCCCCTTCCTAATCATCCATCTTCATTCTTCTAATCTCTAGGGACATTTAGAGCACATCTATGTCATTCAGATTTGAGCGTGACTGGCAGGTACGAAGAGTGTGTCCGACAAGGGTAAGCTGAAAAATTTTCAAGTTTCTTTTATGAATTTGGAGGATCAAATCTCCATTCATATCAATAGTCTGGATATGCGTCAAACATGGGTGTTGAAGACAGGTACTTCAAGAAAATCAAAGAGTAAAAGCAACATCGGATCAAATTGTTCTAGAATACTATCTTCTTTTACCAAATATACTACAAAAGTAGTACTATCATAGTATGCATGTTTCTTGTTAGTTGAAAATTATGTGTATGCATTGAACTCCGGCACAATGTCCCTAATGCTTAGAACTTTAACTTCCAACTAAAGGTCTAGGGTTTGAAAGCATTGAGAAGGGTAGTTCGAGATTTGCGGAAAGCAAGAGGACTGGCTCTATATCATTAGCTGCAAAAGAATTGCAATGTGTTTTACATATGCCGAAAGATAAGCAACAACGGCAATGTTTTACATTCGAAAACGATAAATTTACAATGTTTTTCTCTTAAATTGTTTCTTTTCAACTTAAGCGGACTATATTGTCCAAGTATACCGACTGAAACATACTATCAAACAAGATAATTGCTTGATAGTCTAAAAGCATATTCAACCAGACAGTTCACAATAAGCACAAACAAAAGTTCCATTAAATTCACTGAGACCATGAAACAAATCAAAGAATCAACAATGGGCCAAAAAATAACCTCAAAACAAGTACTTAGCAAACAAAAAAATCATTAGTTCAACCTTTTTATTTTTTGTGTTTGGTCCCCCATAAAAAAGTTAATAAAAGAAGCAATTTTGCCCATTTTAGTTTTGTACCAAATTAAGACCATAAATATCATCCCTTCACTTATTTATTTCCTCTTTTACTAGGAAATACACAAATAAATAGCCTGTGGAATAACTTAAAAAAATAAACCAAATGTCGGGCTTCTGATATTCTTTGCAAAAATCAACACTGTAAACTAAAATCGGTAAAGAAAGAAACGGTAAACCAATGGAAAAAGTGATACCAAAATACTTATTATATGTTCAGAAACCCTAAAGACTAGAATCCAGACATTTTGTTCCAGAATCCTAAGCCGATAATTGATATTTTTCTTTAGGCTTTCTGATTTCAAAACGATAATAATCGCTAAGGTTGTTGAAATTATAAAAAAAGAATTTATCGATTTCAATATCTTCAGTACCCAGCTAAAACAGAGCATTGTGGTTTAGGGTTTTGATGAGGAGTGGAAGAAAAAACTGGGGACTTACCAACGGCGCCGCCCACAGAGCCTCCAACGGCGACTCCGGCGGTGACACGAGCCAAGCAGCTGTCTCTTGCCATGTTCCGTTCACTATCTCGTCTTCTTCCCTTGTTTTTCGTTTGTTTTGATTCCCTAGTTTTTTGCGAGTTTGGTGAGTTAGAACTTGGGTTGTCGAATGCTTTTTCCTACGTTATCGTATAAAAATAAGGATAAACTACCATTTGGCTCAGTAAACTATTGAATTGGTTCTATTCTGACCACTGAACTATAGTTTTATTAAGTAATCCTTAAACTATTAAAATAGTTTCAATCATTTGTTCTATTGTCTCTCTCTTTTCTTTAACCTAATTTTTCTTTTAATATTCTTGTGTCATCTTCTTTTCTTCCTTTGTTTTCTGTTTAACTAGCGGTGGCACTAATCTTAATATTGATTGTCGATAGCCGATGGTTATTATTTTTCTTATTCTTTTTTATATTATGTTTTTGTTTTTTTCTTGAGTTTTTTCACTTTTAAATAAGAATCTTTCTCCTTATGACACGTTTTTCTCTACTCTTGTGACACATTCCTTATGATTTTCGGTATGTTTTTCACATACTTCTACGATCATGTTGGTACTTCCATAAAGATCTTTATGACATTTGTTTTCTGATTGGCTTGTTGGTTGTCACGTATTGTCATATCTTTTTTTATAAATGGTCGTTTGCCAATATAATCAGAATTGTGTAGCGAAGTAGTCTGTCAAATTATTTAGTTTGCTCACTACGTCTTTATCATATCATAAAACATCTCATTCGACATAGACGAGGAGTTTTATGAATGTTGCTAGATTGTTTTGATGTTTGGAAGGTTTCATTCTCTTCGTATCTTTGGGTTTAATATTTTAATTTTATGTATGAGTTTTTGGTGACTACTGTCTCATTTTTCTCTTTAGATGCGTTGTAGTTTTGATTACTCCAATTTTATTAATGAAATTCAGTTTTCATTGCTAAAAAAATAGTCATGATCTGATAATGAAATTATCGACATAGGCATAGCAGCTAAAAAACTAATATAATAATATATTTAATCTTTAATACATATACATTATGAATAGTGAATATAAGTACAATTTTTTACCTATTAAAATTATACAACATAATCTCGATATAATATTTTACTAAACTCGAATCAAATGTTAAGTTTAATTAAACGATTAAGTACACTCAAATATTTCATTAAAACTTAAGTTTGATTTTTCTTATTTTTAACTTATTTTCCTGGTTTTCCATCCAATAGCCTATGTATAATATTTTGTCAAATATAAATCAAATGTTGAGCTTATTTCAATCCCCTTCTAAGATCAATCCCCCTTGTTCCTATCTTATTTCCTCAACATTTCCTTCAATAAAACGATCATAAGGACTGCATAAAGCAATAATTTAGTTAAAGTTTAATGGGCTTAATTCATTCTTTTCCCTTTCCCTTTCCCTTCCCTTTCATCGAATTGCTTAAGCAAAAACTACATGTTCATTGCTCATCTTTTTTTCCTCCTCCATAGCCAGTGGTGAGAGAAAGCTTTAAGATGAAGCGAGAACCAAAAAAAAAAATGTATAATTTAAGAGAAGTTACAAAATTAAGCTTTGATTTTGAATACTGAAGGTCAAGCCGGGAAATTGAAGAAGGTAAGTGTTTAGAATTGTGGAAAGTTTGGTGTAAATAAGATAATAAGCATTGGGATTTTTTCTCTTAGTCTAAAATGATTACAATGTAATATTTGTTCGAATTTTTTTTAATTATATAACATTAACGCTCAAACATTCATGTAGATGTCGTGCTTGAACCTGAGACCTCTAAAGATTGCAATAATCCCTTTAACTATTGATATCACTTGATGCGATCAGATTGTATTCTTATATATATGTGTGTGTGTTTGTCATGCTTTTGAAATGTGTAGTTCAATAAATAATTTTGAGGTTTGTCTGTTTTGAGTGATAAATATGTGTATATAAGTATTCAAATTATCATTGGAAAGTTTGGGTTATGTGTACCTAATCTATGAATATAATATTTGAAGCTACGGATGATTCAATAATAATTTGGATTGTTATATTTGAATTTATTATGATATATGATAATGCTATAATATATCGAGTACTAAAATTTGCATAAATTAAACTATTTCAGTAGATAAATAAATGATCATTATTCGTAGAGGTTTTATGTCCGAGCACCAAATACTATCAAAGTATTTGAGCATT